CTAGCAATTGCAGAGGCCATGGCAGTCACAGAGGAGGCCATGGCAGTTGCGAAGGCCTTGTGGGAGAATGAGAACTAAAATGGCTAGGAGGTTCTTTTAACAGTAGCAAGTCTATGCGACAGGGAGGGCTGGGAGACCCCCTATAGAAAAGGTATGTCTTTCTTAAAGGCTAGATAGCCCTGTTAAAACTTTCCATTATTAATTCACGTTCTGTTGTAATTGTATGTGATTAATGATAATAGAATCTGATACCGAAGAAATGGCTTGGGTGCAGAGCTGCAGGGGAATTTATCGGAAGTGCATGGTGGTGCTCTGCTTAAAATTGATCTAGTAGTAGGATCATGAAGAATTGACCTAAAAAGGAAATCTGGAAAAAAATTTGGACATGGTCGGATTCGAACCGACATCCCGGTTGCCATGTAATGAGATCCCGGTTGCTACCATTACACCACATGCCCATCGAGTTTAGTGCCATTACCTCAAAATAAATATATAACTAACACACAGTGTTCTCTTTACACAATAGAGATTATAAATCAATCAATCAGCCTGCCATTAAAAAAAACGGTACAATCACAATTCTACAGTCCTGACCACAGCACATAAATTCTAAAGAGACTTAATACCTTTGTCATCCTGATCGTAAGCTGCACTAGGTGTACTGGATGGAAGTCTGCACTCTTGGCAATTGGTTATGTACTTAGCTATCTAGTACCTAACCTAAGGTAATGTAGATACCGGTACCGTACCTACACTGTACACGGCAGTACCGTACTGTTGTAGCTTAATGCTTCAGCCTCACCTCCCTTTTACTGGGCACCAACTACGTAGGTAGCAAGTAGAGGCATAGCGACGATAGGTTAGGGGATAAACTGCGGGGTTAACGACTTCCTAGGAAGTCGGTACGAGCGAGGGAATGACATGCTGGCAATAGGCTGTTGGCCCCGGGCGATGACGAAGCATAGCATACTACGTTACGATGTTTTTAAGTCTAAGGAGAGGACGGCTTGCTATAAAGAGTAGTTCTGGTGACATTTTGGATCGCTAGTTCGGTGGGAAGAGCCGTGTTCGCATGGCTGCCAACTCCCCCGGCATCAGATGTGGCGCGTGAGGGATTGAGGCTGGTGGTCGTCGGGGTGGCACCTGCAGTCGAGGACGTTGGAATCCAATAATGATGTGGAGTAGTGGTAGAAGTAGTGCTGGTGCCGAGCCCGATTTGAACGTCAAGGGACCCTGCCGCCGAGATATCCAAACATGGGGCTCCCACAATCAAGAGCGCAAAGATGAAGAGCAACATGTCTGTTTCGAATATAAGAAATAGCTGTGATAGTTTTTTAGGGGATTTTTAATAATAATAAAAATTATTTGGGTTTTCTGCGAACCAATTTGATTTGGATCATTTGGATCATGATCGCGAGGGAGCTTTTTAAGATGTCGACGTTAGTGGCTAGTTCCGGACACCTTGGTGCCTGTTGTCCGACCACTCTAAAAATAGCTTTGTCTAGAATCCGCCACGGTGAGCCGACGCCGCGACGATTTTTGGGGGTTTGGAAGCATAGCAAATCGTAGCTCAACAAGATGTGAGATCAAGTGAGATCAAAAGATTTGTTTTCGGCAATTTTATAACCATGTTAGATGAATTACATCTACATTCCATTTCCCTTGGCTTTTTGAGGATCCGAGGACAAGGGCGCCACTATGCAGCCAGACCAGGAAGATGCGAGAGGTCCATAAAACCTCCCGTAGCGATTAGCGAAATGATAATGCATCATAACCAACGTTGGCTCACCAAATGCGGCTCGCTTTGCATCCGGTTATCTAACCGTGTAGTAAATCATCCTTAGAAAACCAAAGAAATGCTGCACTAAAAAGTAGTAGAGAGAATAGAAAGACTGAGTTAAACCAAGTATAGACAAGTATGGATGGAATTATACGATTAAAACTGCGGACTGGGACGACCCGAACTACGCACCAATACCGGTTTGGACCAGTACGAGTTTGGACCAGTACGGCGTTGGGCGACGGACTGGTACGATATGCCGACCAGCACGAGTTAGGACCCCGTACTGGTCTGGGGTCGTACCAGTCCGGCGTCGTACTGGTACAGCCTGGGACCGCGGATCAGTACGATATGCGGACCAGTACGTGCTCAGGCCAGGAACTGGTACGATATACGCACCAGTACAGCCATGGGCCCTGTACCGGTACGAACCTGGACTGGTACGAGCTAGGACCAGTACATACGACCATAGACTTATGTAGGTAGTCGCATGCCTGATACTTGGCTGAGCCGAGCCTGAGCAAAAGCGGCGAATGCACTAGACCTAATTTGCTTGCAGCTTGGCATCTGGTAAAACCTGGTACCTAGTAATAAGTTATAACTATTATTATAGATAGAAACGCTTAGTTATGCCTTACCTACTAACTTGTAGGTACATGTACCATACTTAGAACTTACAGCCTAACGCCTCCCCGAACATTCAAATATGGACTAGACTAACTTTACATAAACATGATACTGAACAAACATGTATGCAAGTCGCTCACCTAGAGTAAGAGTCCCGTCATCTATCTTAAGCAACGGGCAATGATCATCATGAGATACGATGAAGAAGTATAATGAGTATGGTATCAGAGATGTTGTTCCACGACATCTTTAGCGTGCTTCTCGCTAATAATTCCACTTTAGCACCATCAATGCTACTCACCAGAACATCACGGGTTATATAGTTGCACCGGCCAAGTTTCAAGCTGGCATATATGGCATCAAGATCGAATGTTGATGTTGAAATCGGCATATGTTATTCTTTAATTTTCCTGTTCGCTCATCCAGGTACCAATGCGAATTTTATCAGACCCTACCGTGGCTGCAACGTTTACCAGAACACCGGAATACCAGGATACGCTAGTTGGTCTCAGTGTTCTACTATTCTACCCAACTTAGTCGTTCAGCAAAAGCCTAGGGCAAACTACGAAAACTTCGTTCATCCTACGGTAAATTTAGCATAGCGACAGATCCTAGTGTTTTTAATACATAAGCATACAAGAAGTACAGGTCTTGTATCGCGACATAGATCGTGCCGGTAAGAATACAGTACAGAGTAGGGAGTCTCTCCTTAAACCAAACGCCTACATTCACATGTTCTCAGACCCGTGACGGATAACCACACAACGCCCATGAACGGAGCCAAATATACTACAACAACGAATTAACTTCATCCTCTCGAACCCACGGCGAATCAATTACCATATACTTTATTCATCCACATCCTCTTCATTACCCGTCCACCAGTGCCACTGCATATATAGAGTCAGCAATTACACTCTTAGGTCAGATAGAATTAGTTCACTAGGAGCTAGGTTAGTCTCGAGTTCAAGTACTTACCAGCACCTTGCACCAGAAGATAGTCTCCATAGTGCCGAGTACCCCGACAACAGCATATACCACAAACTTAGTGGTGCGATTCATGCCGAGATTATGAAAACTGATCTTGAAGTCGTCTTCCGACGGCGACGAAGTCTGTTGGGATCCGGAGCTTGGTTGCGACGGTAATCCATTCTTGGTGGCATTCGTCGCAACATCTTTCTTAGCTGGCTTAGGAGTGGAAAGCGATGAGGCACCTGTACTGAGACTCCTTCTTGATATAATGCCGTTATGTCTTGTTGCGCATATATTGATCTTTCCTGGGATGTCGATTGATATGGAGGGTACATCTAGGTTGGGATGCGTCCGTGTAAGTGGTGCCCCTCTGGTACCAGCTCTTGAGGCGGTTGATATTAGGGAACGAGCTAGCATCATTTAAAGAGAAAACTACTTATAACTTTGATACAAGGAACAAGGCAGTGGTAAAGAGAACAACGTTTGATAGTGATCAAGAGTATCAAGGAAATTCTAGCTCGACCTTAACTATAGGTTATATATCAATGATTCCTCTGGTTTTCTATGTAAAGAACCCGATGACTATCGTGCTGCCATGTTGACTGGGTCCATATAAGCTGCCTAGTGTACACCAATACGCCGTATTCCGCATCTACAGTCAATCCATAGAAGTCCCGACCGGGTTTGTTCTTGGCCTTGACAGACCAGCTCATCAAATAAGAATGATCCAAATATTATATAAACAAATTTGCATGTTTGACAATTTTGTAATACGGCGTGTAGTCGCTTTCCTACCTAATTGTCCAAGGTTAGCCAGGAATAACACAGTTTGGAATTTTTTTGAGCCCACTGCAACCCGGCACAGTCTTATTTCCTATTTAGGCAATTCCTGTGCACGGTAACAAATACCAAGCCTGACAGTATAAGTTCTAGTGTGTGTTTTTCCCCTTATTTCACGAGATATAATGAGCGAAGGTGGAATTGATGTTGTAGAAGAGAGGACTATATAGAGGTAGGACGAAAGAATTCAGAAGACGTTGAAAGGTACAACGGACAGTGTATATGAACATCCTTCACGGTGGATATCGAGTCACTTACTCCGTCCTTTCTACGAAGTACGTCGTCAAATATCCACCTACAATTGCAACAGTGGTGAGAGCTCGCAGCCTTCGCCTTTTTCCCTACGCAGATTACCTTTTAAGTTTTCCATCGCAGCAAATACATTTATTCCGATAATCAAATGAAAATTCTCTGTTAACAAAGAAATTGCACGACAAAAATTGTACAGCTTGGGCACTTTGGCCTGCCATGTTTCCTCCCTTTACTCCGGTTGAAGAACAGGTTACATGGTTCTTTCTTGGCTCGTCATATTGACTTCGGTCAGCGAGTATCAGAAAATTACTTGATTGAAACGATGGTTGTACATCGAATGGTCCGGTGATACTACGTGCACGTTTGCCGGTTTCGTAGTCCGCTGAACGGTTTGGCTGTATCACAAAACGTATGACAGGCAATAAATTTGCGGACCCTTCACGATGGATATCTAATCACTTAACTACAACATTAATACCACATTCCGCCCGTTACAAAGACGAAAGGCGACAAATGTTGGCAAAAATTTTGCTGTAGCCGAGACTCGAACTCGGTGCCTAAGCAGGCTCATTATTAATGACATGGGAAGCTTAGATGTTACCCTTACACCACTACAGCAGCTGTCTACGGATCGTGTGCGATTCCGTCCATGTCAGTTGTTGGAGAAAAGGGTTTGAATATGGTATATATTTGCGGAGAGCCGCGGCTGGCCGCTCTTGTGATGGGTCCAGGTGCGTCTATAATGCGGGGCATAAGTGGAACACCGGTGCAATTGTGAGAGCCTCGGAATTGCACAGAGCGCAGCAATGACACTTGCTATTAGAATTTAGCGTGGATAAATGGGTTTCTACAGAGTAATTAGCAGGTATTTGACGCTATATGCGTTTAAACATATATCGTGACCCAACGCACGGGGACGTCAGTCCCAGCTGTGAAGCTACCTTATGGGTGGATCTAAGCAAACCCCCACCAGCCTCCCTCCACTATGAGCATTAGTTAGCTACAGTAGGTGGGCAACTTAACAAAACACTTGATCTCACTCAATCCCACCTATAATCCACACAAGTAGTGTAGAGGCCTTACATACCTTACTACCTCGCTACACAGCCGAGTATTTGCCTGAGACTTCAAACGAAATACGGGTATCGCAAACATAAAATATCCTACGTCCTAGCTGTCATCACCGATTTCCCCGCCGGCCAGCCTGTCAGTAAGCCCAACATGAGCGGCGCCAAGGGCGGCGACAAGATCGACAAGATCATCGCGCGACTCCAGCAGCGCATCAGCGAGGGTCAGTTCTACGAGGCTCAGCAGCAGACGCGGGTCGTGGCCGCGCGGTACATCAAGGCCGCCAACTGGACGGCCGCCGTCGATATCCTCTACAACGTCGCCCAGTCGCTGCTGAAGGCCGGGCAGGGTGGCAGCGGTGGCGACCTCTGCGTCCTGCTGATCGACACCTACAAGCAGGCGGAGCTCAAGCCCGACCCCACCACCAAGAGCAAGCTGCTCACGTGTCTACGTCTGTTCGACAGCGAGGAGCCGACGCGCAAGAAGTACATTGGGGAAATAATATCGTACGTTTTCACACGAATGTTGTTGCTATTCCCACTGGATGGATCGTAGGCTAGCTATCTAGGAACAGAGTGAGGGCTACAGTAATGCGATGCTAACACAGAAGGCTGTCCGTAGATGGTCCTCGAGATTCGGCGACTACCCCGCCGGCGACCCTGAGCTCCACCACGTTGCGGGCTCTCTCTACGCAGAAGAGCACGAGGCGTACGATGCCGAGAGACATCTGGTGTTGGGCACCAAAGATTCCGCCGAGGTGCTCGCCCGCATGGAGTACGAGTGGTTCAAGGAGGACGACGCGCACACGGCTGCCCTGTACGCTGGCCGAGCGGTATTTCCCTATCTCATAACGGCGAACGTCCGGGCTGCCAATACATCCTACCGCGTCTTCACCAGCGCACTGAGCAACGACAGCGAATCCCAGCTCAGTGCCCAAGACGTGAGCAGCAACAGTGCCGACTTGCGTGTGTTCCCCAGCATACCACTCCTTAATTTCCTCGGCCTGTTACTACTTGCCATTCAGAGAGGTAGCCCAGATCTCTACCGGCAGCTGGCGGCAAAGTACGCTGGCCATCTGAAAGAGGTAGAGATGTGGAACGAAGCCCTGGAGATAATTGCCGAAATATACTTCGGCATTGCGAAGCCCCGGCAGAGCAATCCCCTGATGGATATGATGAGCGGTTTCTTTGGCGGTGGAGGCGGGGCTTCTGCAGGCGGGAGCTCGAGGAAGCCTGCGGTTAAGGCTCCGTCGTCGACATCGACGTCAATGCCGGCCGCGGAGGGTCTAGATTAGTCGGGCTGTGTAGGGACAACTGTAGATAGACAGACAGCCGGTATATGTATTATAACAAACAGTACCCCTCCTAACCCATGTTCAATGGACGCGGGGCGGTTCCTCGGCTTCATACATCCAATTATCCTCAGCTAGCGCGGCTACCTTTGCCCTCATGCTAGCCTTGAGCGCCTCGAGAACTTCTGTTTTCATCATCAGCCGCGAAACTTAGCAGAACGGGCCTACCCTCATTTACTGTACCTTCAGGGTGCACGGGCAGGCGCGTCATCTGGTGTTGTCGGACAGCTTCAGCCAATTTCTGTCGTTCCCCTATATATATAGACATCATCATAAGCAAATGATCTTTATCAAAACTCTTTCTTGACTCAGAAAGGGTGGGCGAGCCAAAATGCATACGTTCATTCTCTTGCGCATCATCGAGGGCGGCCTCCTCGTTCGGGTCGTTGAGTGGTGGCGTAGGCGGGTCCCCGACCTCGAACTCGCCGTTCTTGTCGCGGATGACAATCTCGGAAGACTCGGACAGCACGTCACTTTCAAAGCGCAACATATCGACCGAGTTGGACGACGACGAGTTCGTGGTGGTGGCTGTGGTGGTGATGGTCGTCCCTCGTCCCCCGCCGCCGAGCCTCGAGCTCTCCGTCGGCGTCGGTCGTCGGGTTAGATGGCTCTGGAATAGGTTGCGTCGCACGCCTGTCGTGCTCGTGGCTGCGCGCGTTTGGCGGCTTGCGCCTTGGCGGAGGTTCTGTGGTGGCACACGATCGGCCATTCGTATATATATTAGACGACAGGGCGATGCTCTACTGTAGTTAAACGAAGGCTTGCGGTCGTTGGAGTGGTTATCTGGCGCTCTTGCGGTGGTAACGATATTAGATAGGTATTATAAGAGGCTGGTAGTCTGGGGACGCGGTCGTCGTTAAGGACCCGGCTCTCGGGTTATAGGTTGGATGGAAGGAAGCTTGTGATTCTGGGTTATAGATGGTTGTGGTGGAGTCAATTCTACAGCAATAGTATATTGCGATGCGCGGGACCCTGATGGTCTGTTGTCTTAGTGGGGCATGACAACATGCTTGTACGTATTGTAGGTACTTAGGCAACGCCCCACATTATTAGTCAAAAAGGGTAACTTCTGTTTTGGTGCTTCCGATCCAATACTGGCCCTCCAAATTTCACCCTGAACTTCAGTGATAATATGGTTTATATCTGTATCTTTCTCTATAAGTATAGTATAACTAGCGCACGAGATCAATATTAATTAGATACTTCATTATACGTGGTCTCTTTTCAAGAATTCAACCTGAATCCTTTGGCAAGCCTAACGCATTATTAACTGATACCATTCCCATTCCCGACCGTACACAGGGAAAATAATTCTTCCTCAACGTTTTTAAAACAGCCAAGATCACTTAACTTGATGATAGAATTCCACGTTGATTAGCCCTCATAGCTACTTCGTCATTGTATATGTGCCGATAGCATTGTAGCTAGGACGTCCTCGATATTCCCTTGTTGCTGAGGCAGAGTCCATGGGTGCTGTATAGCCCGCTCTTACATTAATTTGGCCCCTTACTAAGGTATGCTTGAACAGCTTAATACGTTAGCAATATCATCTTTTGTTTTGCCTGTCCTGAGAAGCCTAGAGCATGCTGAGTGGTTCTTTTTCTAGAACCTGTTTATATTGTAGACAATACAGGAATGGGATGGTGCATTTGATTGGTTAAAGGCTGCTATTTCCACGCAAGTAGTGGGGCTTTAATGCGGCTTGGTAGGTAACTCTTGTGCTAGCAACCTACCTCTTGTGATCGTCTTCAATTTAACATTATCAACATACCAACCTGGATCTATAAGTATAACAATCTTTCCATTCCTGAGATTCGGTCCCGCTTAAGATCACCTGTGGGATAGTTTGAGTTTCGAAAATGTCCTTGCCAGCCTTCAACATCCAACCGATTGGCCGTTTTAGCGGCCAGTCCGAGCCAGTGAAGCGGCCTAAGGTACACCACCCTCTGAGACAAGCTTAAGGCCGTATTTGATGCCTCAACCTTCATGCTTTTTGCAAGAGACTTCATTGCACTATGAGTTCCGGCTGACATTACTCCAGGAAATCGCATGCTTTTCCTACGACGACAAACACGAATTCCATCTCGACGATTCATCGTTGCAGTGGTACTACCCCCCTAAATTGGGAGCAGACTTATCCAGAGGATTCGAGAAGTTCGACAAACATGATGATTCGGTAGACGAGCATCTAGAAAGCTTGTTGAAGACTATAATAGCTCACGAGCAGGAGGAGGGCAAAAAGATCGATGCCAATATCGTCACATGGCGTGGTATGATGACCAAGGTGAACAAGATTCTTTTGTTCAAAATTCATTGACGTGAATGAAACTGTCTAATCATATATTCTAGATTATGTCAGCACCTTTCGAAGACCGAGATGGGTATGTCAAAATTGAGATTAATGATGACAAAGATACAGACCTAACCGTCGTGTTCATGCTAGCTTCGAAATGCATGCAACTCTCTATCAAGTGCGTAGGACCACTAGTAACTGCCTACAATGTTTCTACTAACACTGTCAAAGGATTGCATGTATGGATCTATGTTCAGCCATGTCAATCGAGGTCGGGCTGATCTAACAGCAGCGCAGCTTCATCGAGGAGAACCAAAGATTTAAGCAGAATGCCAAGGAGCAACAGAACAAACAGCAACGTGGCCGGCCAGGCCAGTTTTCACCCGATGTCATGACTTACTGGGGTGAGATCCATTGTAACTACCTATGTTGTCTTCAGTGGCTAACTGAAAATGTAGGCTACAAATTTGAGACACTGTCTTGTCTGCCGCGGCCCTGGGGTGAGGTGAGCCGCGAATTCATCGAAAACCGAGACGAGCTTGTTGTCAGTAACAAAGCGCAATACTGTTCTGTTGTTCGCACAGGCATAGGCAAGACGGTTTTATGCCTAGGCGGAGAAGTTGACGCCAGTAAGTCTTTCTAAGACCAAGTACCCCGAGTTTCTGAAACTCCAAGTTGTATCGCACAGGAACACTGACTCTGTAATGTGTCAAGTTTGGGACTCCAAGCCTTCGCAGAAAGGGGCACCAACCAACTGGGTCGAGCTGAAGACAAGTGCTGAAATTCGCGACGATCGAGGTATGAGCAATTTTGAGCGTAAGCTCATGAAATTCTGGATCCAGTCCTTCCTCCTCGGTGTGCCCAAGATTTTCGTCGGTTTCCGCTCGCAAAGCGGCATCCTTACCA